TGCCAAAGTCATAATGTAAAAAAAATCAGTCTTCTCCACCACGAAATCAGTACCCACCACTGGAGAACTCAATTATTCCCACAAGAGACCAGTCTTCTCCGCCACGAAATCAGTCCCGATCCGGAGAACTCAATTCTTCCCCCGAGAAACCGGTCTTCTCTATCACGAAATCAATCTCCTACACCGGAGAACTCAATTCTTCCCACGAGAAACCAGTCTTCTCCACCACGAAATCAGTCTCTTCCACGGGAAAATGTGCTCGGTGAAATTCCTTGCTACTTCAGTCACAGAATAAGTCTTGGTTGTACTTATTTTGGATGCAATCATGGTGTAGCAGATGAAAGTAGCAAATTTTGTTGTGTTGCTCATGCTGAGATTTCTAGTAGGCTTTCGTTTGGAAGATTTGGCTATGTGGTGGTAGATTCTTTTTTTAGCAAGGAGAAAGAACAAAACCTAAGAACTATTATCGCTCTTCTTACCAACGTTTACACAGTCTCTTGATGAAGTCTCTTGGAATTGGAACTTCATCAATATGGAGTTCCTTCCCGACGAAAACAACAGAAGTTGGCTGTTTTTTCATACGGTTAGCAACCCGAAATTGATTCCTTTTACATTTGAAGGTGCAAGATATTTGTTTCAAATCTATTTCAAATCAAACAAGATCTACATTTTACATATCCATAGTGTTCACCATTACACATGTCGTATGTTCGTTTTCCTAGACCAAAGCAATTTTTTCAATGTTACATAAAAATCATCTTATTTATTTTGCATTCTATTCTATTCTTTTAGAAAATCACCATTCATCTTACATAAATTTTGTATGCAATTATTTTATTCCATTAATTTTATTTATCTAACTGCTAATATCCCATTCAACTTTATCCCATTTCTTTTAATTCATCTTATTATGAACATTCCAAAAATCGAGTGTGTAGTTATGCATGTTAAGGCCTGAAACTAGAGAATAAAAGGACGAACAATGATTTAATTAATAAGAAGTTTGGGTTCGTAGACGTAAACATCCTTCACGTGGAGCCACATGTCCTATATTCTGCGTTTCTTTCTTCTTTTGTAAGTTGTAACCCTTTTCTTTTGTATACATGTCGTATTAGATTTTGTTGTTACAGTTTCACATATTTGACTTGAAGTAGCAAATAACAAGTGAAGAGGTCGACCAAAGTTTGATTTCAAAATACTATTTTAACAACGAAAAAAAACATGAGCTTCACCAAATTCTAGGTCAAATGAGTGTGAATACATTCTCTCATTCTTCCATCATAGAGACTGATTTGGGCCGGTGAATGCTCTCGCAGCCAGGACAGTTGTGTAAGCTCTCGTGGATGTATATGTCGCAGTCCAGACAGAAATAGTGCTTGCATTTACGACATGTTACACATGGCCCGGGCTTGTTCCCTGTGAAAGACAAAAACACCAATTAACCTTTATATTCAAGCAAATGGCTCAGTTGATAACATACACAAATTCCTTTATATGAAAACTGAGGGGATGGAAATGGGCAAGCGCGAGACACAATGAGTCAGTATACCTCAATAGGGTGAACTAAGCTTATCCTACGTTCAATTACGGGTCTAGTGATCAATGATAATTAACCGGTACGTATGACGACTAAATAAGCTGATGTTTAAACAATAAGCTTTTTATTTACCTGCACCAAGTAAGCTCTGTTGGCAACCAAAACAACTCTTTCCCAACTTTCTCCGAGGATCACTGAGACTTGAAAGAGTAGGAACCTCATCAAACGGAGCAATTGGGAAGAGATGATGGTATGATCTAGCAAGATGTGGTGATGAAACAAGTGTCAGACCACAGAGGGTGCATTCCGTAGGGAGCTCACATACACGAGCTTTGCATCTCGGGCACATGTAACCAGTTCCAATCTTAACTTCCTTGTGACACGAACAGATTGTCACTGCACCCTCAGCAGCTCTTTGTGGGAAACCCATCTTGATCAAATTTGCAATTGCAAATTCTGCTATCGCTGGAGGTGGAGGCGCATGCTCGAGCAGAAGATCCTTTAGATGCACCTGCGTGCAAAAGACAAAAACACACAAGGCAAACTATTATAAAACAAACTGTTTTCAAAGGTACAAGTGGAAGTAGAAGGTAGCTAACTCACCTCATCTACTGCAACGGAATACAATCCACCGGTTTCTTGGCATAAGTGTTTGCATATGAACATTTCTGCAGAAAGCCCAATTACCGAACATCTTAACTTTGATTTCTTGCATTTCTGAATGGTCTCCATGATATCTCCTGGATCACATGTGCATAGAGCTGAATACAATATCAGAACTTCCCGATGACCATAAGAAGGAACCTGGTTGAGATGCTCATGTACAAGTTCCAGGGCATTCTGCAAAGAAGAGTCACCCAAGGGTTCCAGCTTTCCCATCAACGCTTTTATGTGCGACTCGGGACTACCACCAAGATCTGTTAGGGTATGCGCAATTCCATTCTTTATAGAGACCAAACCGATTTGACTCAGAGGATTCTGGTCAAAGAACTCTCTAATGAAAGCTTCAACATGTTTTGCCATTACAGCCATCCGGCTTGGTCTAAAATCCGTTTCTGCAGCTGCCTAGACACGACAAAACAGAACCATTTGTGAGGTATTGCATATTATGGAACTGAATTTTTTTTAACCCATTTCTTCATTTTCAAACCAAATCATACTATTGACTTGAACAAAGAATCTGAAAAAGTAAAGATCAAAAGTAACAGTTTTTCTCAGGTTCATATGCTCTAACAACTCAGGGATCATAAACCCAAAACCCACTTCAGATTAAGATTATCACTACAAACAATACAGAGCCAACTACAGAAACTGTTCATAAGACTAAAGAGCAGAGATCTCCTAAACTCAAAACGAAGATTGAAAAGCAGAATCAGTATACACTTCTCCTCTACATATAACCCCAAAATGCAAACTCTCTCATCTATGTAACTTCCCAATGAAAGCAACATATGCTCAATTTCTAAAAATCAAACTCATAGGAAACAGCATTGAAACTGAAATTCACATAATCAGTAAACTCAATCCAATAGACCTAGAACCAAAAAAAAGGCATAGAAATATATACCCGAGAGAAGTCAATGACAATGTATAGATAACGAATAAGCCCCTTTTGGATCCGAGTACCAGCTGCAGCAGCGGAGAGCAACCGGAGACGGCGGCGATACTGAGCATGGTAAATCGCACTGTTATCAATCGGCCGTAAAAGTCCCGACTCATCCTCTTGTAAAGCTTCCCATGATCTATCGTCAACGTAAGCTCTCTCCCACTCGCCGATAC